TCACATGCAGCCCAGCTGCCAGCCCAGAGGCTGCACAAGCATCGTCCTGACAGCTCTGCCTCAGCTCACCCCCCAAGCACAAGGCATTCCCAGGAGCAGCAGCAGCACGTCCACCTGTGCCCATGCAGCACAGGGGCAAGAACATGCGGGGGCTGCTGCTGAGGAGTACATAGAGCATCTAAGTGTTTGTTTGGACCTTTTGTGAAATGAACAAGAGCAGCAATTTTATACTTTTAAATAAGCTTTTACTCCTTTTTAACACGAGAATAAACACTAAATTTGGACAAACCACACTTGCTATTTGTGCCTTCTTCCTATTCAGTTACAACTGGTAAACAAGCTCAGAGAAGCTTGTAAGCAGGTACAATAGAAAGCTAGAGACTACCACTGCATGCACAGCCTTGCCTTTGCTTTAGTATGCACAAACAGAAAGGTTCGAGTGGATTTTAAACATGAGAGCAAAGCAACTGCTGTTCTTCTTAGTAATAAGGTCAAAGCAAGATCTTTCAAGCAGCATTTAGGAAGTACTCTGTGCCCAGCTTGAAAGGCCCCACTCTGGTGAGAGAACAGTTCTGCTGGGCAGCTGTTAGGTCTCTTCCTCTTCTGGTGAAGGGGCTCAGCTGCAGCCCCTGCTGCCTCGGGCAGGAGCAGGGCACCACCAGCCGAGCGGTAGCAGTGCCCTCCATGCCCAAAGCAGCCTGAGCTGCCCAGGACTAGAGAGGGAAAGCCAGTTCTGTGTTACCTAGTGGCAGCACTGGAAGGAAGGTGCAGCACGGCTGGGGCAGAAACCAGGAAAACTGACACCAATTTTGACTAATCCAACCCTGAAACTGATGTCAGACTTGAAACAGTACCTTATTTCTGTGCTCTGCCATTACTGGTCTATCCAGATGAGTTTTGTAAAGCAATCTGACTGTTACACAGGAGGTACGAAGCATTTATTCCTGCCCCTCCTACTTCACCTTCACCACTTATCAGTCCTTTTTTCTTAAGCAGCCTCTATTACCCACTCACCTCTTGAACAGGACAAACAAGGATGGATGTTGGTACCAAAAGACAGGATAAATGAAATTAACTGCCACAGATCATACCTAGAAAACAGTTTCAGATTTGAGCAATATTGGTTTTTCTCCAACTCAGTGCTGAGTGAGCTCAGAGCAGCTCAGGAAAGAAATACATACCACACATCTGAGTCATGCGCCCAGTGTTGAAATAAGATACCTGTAAGGAAGGGAATGTGCAGACACACCATTGCTGTGTTCAGCAAAGCCTCTCCCAGCTCTTACAACAGAAAACCTGAAAGTCTCCAACAATTCCATCAGCTTTCTTGACAGCAGAACAGTGCAAAGAAAGAGATGCCTCCTCCAGAGGGGGTCAGTACCTCTCAGATCAGCCCCTTTTAAAAAAAAAAGCAGTAACGTTCATACATGGAGCTTTTCCTTTAAGGACCTGAGCAGCATGACTCATAACAGAAGCTGTTCTTAAAATGGAAAGAAATGCAGCAGTAATTAGTGTTTAGAAATACCAAATAATTCCTGCGAGCCTACAGCTGCTTGAGAACAACTCTGTGTAGTTCCACTCTTACACTGTATTGGTAGAGTTGCAAGTTTGGGGATGGAATTCAGACCGAATCTAGACTAAAGGCAGCACCCAGCACCACAGCTCAGCCCTACTCCCTTCCGATCCAGACAGGAGAAGGACTGACCCAGCAGGAGAAGGGGAGCAGCTCCAGCTTTTCTACCTATAACTGTTATCAATTGTGTAGCAGTTAAATCACCGCAGGAGCAGGGAGGAGAGGCCAACGAGAAAACCCAGCACTCAGCAAAGCACGTTTGGTTTCTTTCAGTGACTTCATGCAATATTCTGCAGAGGTGACAAATTGCAGCACAAAGCACAACCATAGAAGGAGAGCAGCTGGGGTAACGCTGCCAAATACACAACTAACTGTGGCCAGGGAAGCCCAAAGTTTCAACTTTTTTATTTTTTTATTTTATTTTATTTTTTTACAGTGTACATTGTTAAATAATGTAAAGAAAACGCTTGTAATTCAGAAACAGATTTTATGTGGAAAAAGATACTCAAAGTGTAATATTAAACAAAATAATTTAACAGTTCAGTAGCATTAGTTTATTCCTCTAGACTTCAGTTATTCATCCACAGGAAGGGGGGAGAGGGGGAATCAATGGTAAATAAAACCAGTTCTTGCATAACATTAAGTGAAAACAACCTCAAACTTATTAGATCAAAATTAAATAACCACGTGCTGCATTCAGCTTCATCAGTTCCCCTGTCGTGAGTATTTCCCTTGTGTGTCATCACTGCCTCGGGCCGACAACCGCTCCTTTTCCTCGGGCACACCTCTCCCCTCCCACCGGGTGTATTTGGGAAAGCAATGCACCATTCAGAGCAGAGATTTCCTGTCCAACCTCAGCAGCAGGGCCCCCCTTCCCACCACACTCATGCCATGAGCCTCTCTCCTCTCCCCTTCAGCAACTGCACTGAGGTCACAAAGAACGAGCCTCCAAACCTAAGGATCTCAGAGCCCAGGCTCTTTGCTGCTGGCTTTTGCTCTCCAGCATCTCTCTCCACCCAGTATGTGCCCTTGCTGCCAAAACTGCTGGAAAAAAAAAAAAAAAAGAAGAAGAAAAAAAAAAGAAAAAATAAAAAAAAAGATGAAAGTGAGAACACTCACAGACAGAAAAACTCCCTGTTAAGGCTCCACAGGGAAACAGCACTCTCAGGAAAAATGATTTGGGCAAGGAACAACGTTCTGGGTGCACCAACTTCCGGACACCAGCGAGCTGCCCCAGTGCTGGGAAGCAGCAGTGATCCTTCACAGCTCTTTGCAGCACTCCGTAAATACTGGCTGGTATTATTTCAACTTTGTAGAGGAAACCAGTATTCTTAAATATGAAAAGGGAGAATGAACACAGCAAAGGTACAGTACAGCTAACTAAGAGGTGACGGCTACAGTCCTGGTACCAGCTGGAAATCTGTTAGAGTTGGAGCATAAATCCTCCAACTAAGACTGAGGAAATTTCTTGATGCCGGCTGTTTCAAGTGCATCCATTGCCGGCAATGGACATCATGCCAAGACGACTATTCCTGGCTTCAATGAATAAAAAAAAAACCAACAAACCAAAAAACACAACAAAACAAAGAAAGAAAAGCAATCCCAGCAGACAAGCCCATGCCAACGAGCAATGGCACCTCTCCCTCAAGTCACATCCTGACCAAACACCTTCACCACTTCACAGGTGGAGTCACACTGCATCTTAAGTTGGACCCTTCCCATAGACACACCTTCTCCCCATCCTCTCCATTCCTGATCCAGACCTCCTGCCTCTACACAACGGCGCTTCGTCTCATCCTGGCTTCACGCACAACCCTCCGTCCCACCCCACCTGGCCCTCATCACACCAGCAACATCAGATCACCCCCTCGGCCAAGTTTCCCAACACACGGAGCCTGGTTCCAACCCGCTGCACCTCCTCTACGCGGTATCGCGGTATCGCTATCGCTACGCCGGCAGTAAGGCCCCCATCCACAGGTACAACCAACGCGGCCTTCTCTGAACTTGCCCTCTGTCCACCTGGGCTCTGCTGGGAAGACAACGCTAACTGCAGAAGCAATAGAAGTCCAAGGCACTAAAATATCCAGCAAGCATACTGGGAGAACAGACAAGTATTCAAGTACATTAATTTATACAATTTTACATTCACATTTATTTATCTAATACAATGAAAATACAAAGGAAAAAGTTAAAGTGTCTCCAATAAGTATAAGGATATAGCTAGCTTTTTTTCCCATTTTTTACTTTTTAACTTTTTTAACCCTCTATATTCCACTCATTTTTAAACTACTGTTGTCCAACAACATTTATATATCACAGTGTTTCCACATCAAAACTGATGGTAAGTACATGTCCGCAGGGAACTTTTAAAATTTTTAAACAATTTAAATTGCTCTAATGCTGCAGTCAAAGCTGTTAATATCTTACTTAAAGCAGTAATGACCTATCAAGCACGGGCTGCACTGCAAGTCCATTCGGGTGCCCCATCGTTCTGGAGCCAAATACGATCGAGTGGGGAGAGGGAGAGGAGGGGGATTTGGACAGCTGGTCTCGGATGTTCAGGGAGAGAAGTGTGCTAAAGCCTCATGCTAGGATTCAACTCTCCCATCTTGACATACGCGGATTCGGCCTCAAACCAGAGAAATGTTACAGCAAGACTGCGTTAACCGCCCCCATCACCGATCTTCACGGCTCTCGCTTCACACGAGAGCGGGACCCATCAAGTCAAAAGAACTGTCCCATCGTAAGGATGCCGATCATCCTCCTCCCCCTTGAAAGCATGTGGGGAAGCCCCCTTTACAGAAAGTTAACAGCAATGGGTGGAAAAGAGAAATTCATTCCCAGTCTGGCAAGCAACCAGTTCATTGCAGCACTAGGAGTTGACAAAGGGCCCCGTCTCCCTCCCCACGTCCTGTCCCGAGGTCTAGCCAGCACGGTCTCCGAGCGGGGCTAAGTGGTCCGCAGGTTGGAGCCTGGAGGGTTGCTGATGGATTTCTGCAAACCGCTGATGTTGAAGCTTTGCAAAGACGCGGCACCAACGGGCTGGAACTGGCCAAGTGGTTGCTGTGCCGGACCGCTTGTCCCGCTCCACGGAGCGGCAAAAGACGCTGCTGGGTAACCGTACTGCTGCGGAGGGCACATGGCCTTTGTGAAGGGACCTAAAGAGGTAGCTGATGCTGCAGAGATGGGCGTAGCACCCAGGGAAGATGTCATAGAGATACAGAGCTGACCTGGTGCCGAGAATTTTCTTGCCATTCCAGGGCCCTGAAAGAAAATCCAACCTCCAAGTTAAACGGTCACTCTTACAAACCAACGGCTATCCCCTTGGCCCACAGGCTGTTCCAAATGGCTGTCTGGAAGAACACACCATGGCCTCGCTCTTCAGTTATCTCTCTTCTCTTCCAGAGCACGCAATATCATATTGCGCACACAAGGTTTACCCAACATTTCTGTAGCACAGTTGTCCAGGATACGTGGTAACCATACTCCACCTGGTTGACATTCTGAGATAGCAATGAGACCCGACAGCTTCTTACCGTAAACATTCATGGGTTAAATCTTACCTCATAGTTGCTATGCCCTTTGCCAACTTTCTTGCCAGACAGGTTCATGGCATCTCGGGCCCAGTTATCTACCAGCTTGTGCAGGTCGTCTGTGAAAGTCCCTTTTCGGCTGGAGGCAATAGCAGTAGGCTGAGACTGGGGTGCTTGGCTGTTCACTGTAGCCCCGACTGCATTAGTGCTACTGGTCCCTAAAAATACAAGAAATGGGAGTCAAAATCTGGGGTCAAGATCAGCTTCCTCCAGTGAATTTAATAATCGTGGCAACGGTACAACGATAGAGAGCCAATTAAAATGCCATGCAATTTAAGTCTAGGTTTCAATTCCAAGACAAGCTGAAGTAGGAACTACGAGGACTTCTATAGGCATTTCCTCAGATTATTAATATTTCACAGATGTTTCCTTCAAGAAGTCCTGCAAGTAGTCATCTTTACAGGGGAACGGCAGCAGCCTATAGGTCTTTGTAGAAGAAAAAAGAGATTAGATTTCAGCACCAAATGACAGTAGTCGTATCATTCTTTCATCCTATACCATTTAATCAGCAGCAACCACTATCAACACAAGTCCACCTTAGAGGACAATGCTGGATGCTGAATATGGAGTGCTACAAACAGCACAGCCAGCTGCTCTGTAGAAAATTATCTCCACTTCATAAAATGAAGAGGAAAAATTCACTCAGATTACACAAAAAGCCACAGTGAGATACAACAACTGTTGTTTCCAATAGCTGCCATACTTGAGGATAACCAGACGGGACTGTCTTCATATCCACTATAGAGAGGGGATCAGCAGGGGAAGTCTGCACTGTGTTAAATTTTGCTTTTTGCCTCTGAAAGCACTTTTTTTGCCATTATGTTCAGATTTCCTAGTCAGAAGAATAAGCATTTCAGATGCAAATGACTAATACATCTTAAAGAAGGCAGAAATGAGACCAGTTCCTTGGATGTGCTCTGACACAATTTTCTGTTCATTGGGTTGACCACAAGAACAAAAGCCCTTCACATGAATACTGGGAATTTGGTTCTTCTAAAAAGTTTGCTGAACAGCACCCAGCAGAAAACATCCAGAAGTTCTGTGTTCAGTAGCCTCGCTCACTGCCTCACCCTTGTAAGCAAGCAGCTTCACTCAAAATGAAGCTTTTCATGAGACAGATATCATAGCAGTAGCAAAAGCTGTTTATTATCAGGTAAGAATTCTGAATTCCCAGCAGTATCTTCATTCCAGATGTGGAATGAATACATCCCAGAAGTATCTTCATTTCCATGGGACCAGTAGGACCATGGAGAAGGCAGAATGAATCTACATTTCTCAAATCCATTTGGCTCAAAACCAACTAAACATAATAAATTCCTGTCAGTGTAGAGCTAAACCCTGCATTCACTGCAAGCATCTTCACCTAACTGGTTTTCAAATAGCCTCAAATATTTCTACCTGCTTGCTCTGAAGGCTGCATTTGGGAAGCCCAGGGAAACCTGAGAGTATGGCAGAATTTCTGGAGAAAACTGATTTTAAAAGTTGAGGATCAAAAATCCTAGCAGTCATCTCCATTGCCAAGGCCAAATGATAGTTATTGTCTCCTGCCTGACAGCTGTTTTCTCAGGAGCAGTGCTGCAGTGGCACAGGCTGCCCAGGGAGGTGGTGGAGTCACCACCCCTGGAGGTGTTCAGTGACCGTGTGGATGTGGCACTGAGGGATGTGGGCAGTGGGCAGGGTGGGGATGGGCTGTTGGCTGGACTCGATGATTTTAGATGTCTTCTCCAACCTTAATGATTCTGCAATTCTAATTCCTCTGTGCTACTCTCCCTGGCTAGCAGCCACACTCCTTGCAACCATAGCATCAAAGAACGAATTGGCTCCAAACCCCTGCAGGAATGCTTTATATTAAGGAGTGAATTAGGAAGGTGACATACTTACTACGCAGGACAAATAAGCAAAGTGTTACCGCCTCTAGTAGTGCTGAAGAGGGAAGGACACACCTCCCTCCCACCAGATCCAGCTCAAGCATGGAGATGGCTCCCAGTGAGGGTGCTCACCAGAGGGACAGCAGCTGTTACAGGCAGGCAGAGTCATGCAACAGTGCACAGGAAAGGAGAGAATAGGGTTCCCTGACCAGGGAGTGCAGCTGCAGCTCAGATGAGTGCTAACAGAAACATACCGTAAGGTGGCAAGGAAAAATCTACAATAAAAATAATGAAAACTTCAAGCATGCACCACATCTTATTTAATAACAACAGTGACCGAGAAAAAGAAGGTGAAATTAAAGACATAACAAGCAAAAACAACAAAGAGGTACTCAAGATGAGGTGTGGAACCAGTAACACCCACATTCCACCATGAGGGCTCATGCAGGGATTGACACACTCACTCTCATACTCTTCATGATGGCCAATATCTGGTTCTCATGTCTCATATTTCTATGTTAATCAGTAAGTGCACAGCTGGCAACCTGGGATCATGGCTCTATGCTGAAGAGCCTCTTCAGGCTGTGCAATGGAGAGAGTTAATCACGAAATACTACAGTGCATTCAGCCAAAGATGTGAAGAATTGTTTAGAAAAGCAGAAGTGTTCTGATGAGGACTGGCTGAAGGTTTAGTCCAGGGTTTAAGGTAGATAGGAAAAGTGGGGGACAAAGAGCTTTGTCTGAAAAGTGATTTTAGTATGGAGCTCCAATCTCAGGTCACAGAAAACCTGAGGCAGACCAACCTATGCTATTAGAGGCGAGCTGTAAAATTACTGGAGCTCCCATAGTATCAATGTAAAAACTGACTTCTTAGGAACTTCACATTTTAACCCTGATGTAGTTGCCACCTACTGAAGCTGCCATCCAGAAGAGTGTGAGAAGGAAGTGTTTCAATTCGTGGCATTTAATGGAAACAAACCCCCGCATTCCTGCTTGGTCACAGCAGCCATTCCCAGTCCTGCTCTGACATGAGGAACCTGAAGTGAAACAGGCTTCTCCTTCTTCAGCCTGCCACCTACAATGCCTTCATTTTACACCCAGCATTTTTTTTATTATTATTATTATTTTAAAATCTCACCATGAGTGAGAAAGGCACTGTCAAAAGGCACCTTTAAGCAGTCTTCAGTGACGTGACCATACGCTGGCTTTTCTACACATCTCTTACTTAAGGACATGGATAAAGATCAGATGGCTTACTCTTGCAACACTGAAGGACTCTCTGCCATTGGAGCTGTCACTGAGGTGGCAGAACCCATCAGATATGTAAAGAAACCAGCTGCTCAAAGGTACAGTGTTAGCACATCGCAGTGAGCAGCTGTCCTCAATGCTCAATTCACTGTTATTAGCAGTGAGGAAGGAGTTGCTCAGGGAAGGTGAGGCTCTGCCTCCACTTTTCTGCAAAGGTAATAGCCACGCTGTACAGATATGCTAACAACCGAGTACACACATTAGAGGGCATAACAGAGACAGACAGATGCTGTGCTAGAGACAGAGTCAGGGAGGCAAGGCTTCGGTGACCAGAAAAAGCCAATGAACAGCTTTACAGTCAGGAGTTGGAGATAACAGAAATAAGATAATTACTACAGAGCTGGTTGCAAGGACAGACTTTTTTCACCATCTTCCCTGAAGCACAAAGAGAGAGTCATTTGTTAAAGATAAGAGAAACAGTGAGAAATGTTTAGTATCAGCAAACAGTACGAAAAGCTTGGTGAGAAACAGAGGGCATGGCACAGCAGGGCTCTTGAAAGTTCTGGTATGTTCTAGGAAAAAGCCCAAGATTGCTCTGACAGTTTCATGAGCTGTATTTTTAGAAAAAGAAATGGTTTGGCCTTCTGCATTTATTTTTCAGTATTTCAGAATTCCCAAACTGTAGTGAAGAATGGCAGGAAACATTATGGTTTCAATTGGCTGTTACTACAAAAGCAAAGCAAACACATCTTGCATTTTTGTCAGGGCGCAGAAAGCATTTCACAGCTATCAAGTTTGACTGTCACCAAGTAAGAAGAATTTGATAAGCCAAGTGCACTCATGGTTTGTCACCTTGTTCTCTCAGGCCTCCCCACATCTGTGGGACAGACCTTCCCTGCCAGGCTGTACCACTCTATTTCTCCCGCTGCACAGTTACAAGCATCAGTTACTGCACTGTTTCCTCAATGCTGCTGATTCGAACCCAGCATCTTTCCCAGTTGTCACTCTCCATAACAGTCTGCAATAGCACTCAAAGGACAGGACTCCAGGAAGCAAGCAGCCTGTAATGAGCTGAGTGCCAGGCCAAGCTGTGCCGTGCCTTTACGAGTATGACCTGCTTTCGCAGGACAGCTACAACACACATTTCAAAAAGAATCCATTTTTCTTAGCACAAGCTCCACAGGCAAAGGATATGCCAATGTATTCTTAGAGCCAGATGGTGTACAATTTGCAGCAAGCCAGAGCCTTAGAAATACATGACACTCTCACACTCAGTTTGCTGCCAATTCCAGAAGTGGATAGTTGTTCATTATAGTCTCTACCCCAAAAAATGATGGGGCAGACAAGGGAGGATTTTGAAGAGTTAGCTTTGGTAAGCATGTAAGTATTTCCAAGAATGGAGCTGCTAAGTCTTTGAACTGCAGATGTTTGTTACTGCACATCCGCACAGTAATATATCTAAAATCCAATGAGGTATCATTGCAAAATTCAGCAGCCACAAATATGTTTCCCCTCTCTGACTCCACTGCCTTGGAGGATCATGCTGGTTGCATTGCAGCTGTCTCTGCAGAAGGCCAGGTCTCATTCCTGCACACAATTCTCTGGCTGCCAACTGCAGCAAGACAGATGCTACAGATGCATGGTACATTAGGCAGTGCAGCAACTGAAAGTCTCTTTTCAGCATTCAGAACTCTCACATCAAGTCATTCTGGAGTCTGGGAAACAAATGTCAGAGCATTCAAAGGGTCCAGCCTGCAGCAGCAGCATGGGAGAAGTCGCAGCACTCCCCCCCCCAAAAAAAAGAAGCATTGCAGCAGCAGCCTCAGCCCAAGCACACTGTTAGTTCAGACAATCACATCAGAAGTTTGAGGCTCTCTTTTTTAATCTGGCGTAATGTAAGCACCAGCAAAAGGATGTTGAGAAAGGCTGCAAGGTAACTTGCACGGGTTGACAGAATGTCTGAAGATGACCATTTCCCCACCTGCACTTCTATGTGCATCATATTAATCTGTCTCTGATTCACACTAAGAGCTTCTAAATCTGTGGCCCATTTGAGTTGATCTGAAATTATTCTGTAACTATTTTTAAGTTTCAATCTTTTACTCTCCATCTGCTAATGAACACAAGATGTCAATGTTAAGTGCCTACAGGTGGCATCAATGCTCTGCACTGTGATCAGCACTGGTGCTGACAGCATGCATAAACACCCAACTTGCACAGTAAGCACACTGCTGGAAGGAAGCAACACATCCCCTCCGCCATCAGTTACAACAGTGCCCAACAAAGGAATAATTTGGGAAACAAATCTTCCTCACTGTTTCCCTGGGAAAGAATAGTTCCCCTGCATGTCTCATGGCAGCTAATATATACTGAAGCGTAATTCATAAGCAGGCCAAAAGAAAAGGCCCAGTGTACCACATCTGGCAAGCCAACCTCAATTTCTGCCTTTTCACTGACCTACCCAGAAAAGTTTCTACCAAAAGCTTAGAGAAATCAGCATTTGTTAAAACGGTTTAAAAACAGAATACCTAACACGAGAACCCAAACTTCTAAAGGTATGCTAAGAGCAACTCAGCCTAGCCATGGAATGGGAGGGAATACAAGGCGGCAGATGAGGATGGGCTGCATGAAACAGATCCAAGCAGCAGAAGAAAACAAAAAGACAAAACAAAAAAGACAAGGAAGGAGTAAAGGTGTTACACACAAAGAGCCAAGCAGGGCGTACTCAGAAATCGGGTCCTCCTGCCACCAGGCTTGAACGTCACTCTTTCAGATGCACAGTTAAACTTCGCACAGCCTGTGAGAAAACAAAAACGGGAAGAACAGAGAAAGGAGAGGAGAAGAGACAGAACACCACTACAAGATGTTAGCAACTTGAGGTTGGAAGGGTGAAATGCATTAACATGGCACACAAGAATAAGCTTCAGAGTGGACCAAAGAGTATGCAGACAACATACGGAGTGAAGAGACTCGCCTTCAATACAGCAGACATGAGGCCAAGTTTGCCGTGTTAACCTCTGGTTTATAACCCAGCAATGGAGTTTCCATTGGTAGGAAAGCCAAACACCAGCAAAAGCATCTAATTGTAGAAGATACTGTACAACTCTAGATACAAGGAGGTGCAAGTAGCTCCAAAATGCTTGAACAGTTCAACACAAAAATCTCTATAGAAAATTCTTCCCAGAATTCTTTCAAAAAGTCAATTTCTGTTTTCCATTTGTACTTCTCCAAATTCAGCAGTAATATTTGTTTGATTTGATGCATTTAATCAGTCAATGGTAAAGCTTTTCAAAAAGATGCTAATGCATAAAAAACTGAAGCAACTACGTTCACAGAAGCAAAAGAATCAAACTATCATCTCCTGAGCAACTGACAAAACTGAAAAAAGTCCTCCCTCCAAAATAGATCAGGGCTGAGTGAGAGATGATCTGATACTACCTAAGTAATCCACAACTCGAATAAAATGAACATTTTTATTCCTACACCATTCCATCTTCCTATGCTGCTTTCCACGATAACTCTTTAGCACATAAATGCAGAACATAATCCTTCTTTTTTACCTTTTATTGCCAAAAAATCATTAACAGAAACAGCCACAGCAGTTTCAAATTCAAGAAAGAGTGAGTCTTCTGAAATTTTTCTACCATTTCAATTACCTATTATCAACAAATCTGTTCTGCCTCTTCCTTAATCTCACATTTGAACCTACCTTTCCTCCATCTCTCCTTTTTTCCTCACCCTTTCAGCCAACACCTTTTCCTCTCAGGTCAGAAGAATATTGCTTGCTGCCACCACACTGCATTCTCTTGTGTTCTCCTTGGTGTTTTCATTATAGCAGACAGGGCCACATGCTATTTATTAATTATTTTAATGTTCCTGGCACCCTCTGTTTATGTGAGAAGCTATCAATGTAGTTGCAAAACATACGCTCTTATCAGTTTGCATGCATTGGGGTTGAATTCCCTGTCTATTTTATGACGTGTATTAAACATCAAGTGGCATCAAGTAGATCATTCTTTCACCAGCAGTAAAGGTGCATCCGTCTGAAGTCTTACCTTGGCCTGGCGCAGAAAGGCTTGGTACTGAAAGGGCACCATCACTGGTAAAGGCAGAGTAGAGGTTTTCGCTAGAAGGTGAAGGTTTGAGGGGCTGTAACAAATGGTTCTGTCCAGTCTCTGGCACACTACCAGGAGGATGAAGAGTCTGCTGCGGGGGCAAGACTGATGGTGCACTCTGAGCTGACAAATTGCCTGGAGGAAGAATGAAGGCAAAACACGTTGAATGTTTCAGTTTCCCCGTGTCATATTCTAAGCTTTTTTGCAGTGCACCCAAGGGAGAACAGCAGAACTGTTGACTGTATGACTAAGTTATGGAGGAAAAATGCAGGGGTGGGGAAGTACATTCATTCTCTGGACTTGACAATTCCAGGTGAGAGAGAGGCAGAGGAAGGACTACACCAGCATTTAGAGAATATTGAGACTAAAATAATTTTTCTTTACTTCAATCTTAAGGGAATTCACTGCTAGTTCACTGTCACATGCTCACACAGAGTTCCTCTATTATATAATAAACCAGAAGTGAGCACAGTGCAACTGGATACAGATCCTGCTACATGACATGGAGCTGCCAAAGTCAGCGTGTAAAACAAATATTTCTGCTCATGGGCAGGATTTGAGTGACATCTACATATACATAACATCTGACACCCAGATGACACTATTTTTCAATTTATTATAAAAACTGTCCCAGTGAGAAATGAAGCCTTGATAACTGAAATATTCTCAATTTGCTAAGTACAAAGAATTGTCACTCCCTAAAAATTCACTAGTTTAATATCCATCAGTTGTGACTTTGGTTTCTGGCAATATCATGCTTAAGTGCTATTAAGTATGAAAAATCTTTTTTGAAGATGAATGAAGATACATTCCCATTCTGTAAAATCAGTTTCAGAAGAAAACAAGAGTAGTTGATGCTCCATTCCTGGAGACCTTTGAGGCAAGGCTGGATCAGGCCCTGGGCAACCTGATTCAGCTGTGGTACCGCTGTTCATTGCAGGGGAGTTGGACTAGATGGCCTTTAAAGGTCCCTTCCAACTCTAAGGGTTCTATGATTCTATGGGAAAAAAAAAATCCCTCTGTAAATCTATATTTTTCACTCTGGATTGATTCTCAGTCCTCTTATAGCCCTATCACTAATGTCAAAAAAACAAGCCAAACTAAAACAAACAAAAAAAAACCCAAAACAAACCAATACATACCCACAATTTTAAACTGCTCTTACAAAACAATGTAATATAGTTTGAGTAAATTGCAGAAGCCACAGGCAAGACTAACAACTAGCAAAAGCAACTTAAATGACGTTGTAGTCCAAGCAGTGGAGGAGCTTGAAGTAAGGAGTACAGGAGAATAAGGTGCAGCAGAAGAATCGTATCAGTCTGGAAGTGACCTGGTAGCACCTTGTCAGTTCTATCTTATTAAAAAAAAAAAAAAAAGTGAGAAAGCCTTACCTGACAGCTGTGGACTCTTATTTCCCTGGGAGCTGCTACGACTGGATTTGCTGCTTTTTCCTTTAGTGGGTCGTCTCCTCCTTCCCGAAAGGGGTGCAGCAGGGGGAATAATGACTGCAGGTGGGACCTTTCCTAGTTTTGTGTATAGTGATTCAATCTCCTGCTTCTGGCGACTCTGCAGCTCCTGGATCTCTTTAAGGTGCCTAACAAGTTACAAGAGCATCACTTAAAAAAGCGTATGCACATAGCTGTAGTATAGGTAACAATCCCTCCCCTCCAGTCAAGCTTGACCAGCTTGTTTGGTCAAACTCTCATAAACATTTAAGAGCAGATGAAATAAATCCCTTCCACAAACAATTGCTGAATACTTATGGCAAAATGCTTGTTTTTTTCCATTTTGTCTAACGATGACTAGGAATTCCAATGCAAAGTTTCCAGTGTTGTAATCTCAAAACCAGAATAAACATATGTATAAACAAGAACACACAGCAAACACATGAAATCATTCATCATAAATGATGCAGGAATAGCTAGAACATTATTTTATGAAACATATGGCATTGGAGGCTTCAACATTCATATTGAAGCATTTTTTTCAGAGCAGTTGCCAGCTGTCCTAAAAAGTCAGCTTTCAATATGTTCAATATTATGTCACATTCTTTGACTTCTCAATTTTCTTCTAAATCAACAGAGATTCTCCAGGAAGTGGAGAACACCAGAATCACTTACTAGAAATGCAAAGTTGAGTGTCATTTTCAAGGCAGACAACAATATTTCCACTATCTACTAAATTTCAGAGATCGAAGAATCACAGAATGGCCAGGGTTGGAAGAGACCTCAAGGATCATGAAGCTCCAACCCCCCTGCCACATGCAGGGCCACCAACCTTATCATTTAATGTTAGACCAGGCTGCCCATGGCCCCATCCATTCTGGCCTTGAACACTTCCAGGGACGGGGCATCCACAGCCTCTCTGGGCAGCCTGTTCCAGCACCTCACCACTCTCTGTAAAGAACTTCCCCCTGACATCCAACCTAAATCTCCCCTCCCTCAACTTAAAACCATTTCCCCTTATCCTGCTGTTATCTAACCTTTCAAAGAGTTGATTCCCCTCCTGTTTGTAGGCTCCCTTTAGGTACTGAAATGCTGCAATGAGGTCA